GCCACCTCTCTCTCTCTGGGGTTCCCTTCACTCCATCAAGCAGGACTGATTGGCTTACAGAGGTTCTGTGCCTGCTGGGCATCTTGACCTCTCTGGCTCCCCAACTGGCCTCTGGGCAGACTGATGCCAGATTTGTACTCACTTTGCCTGAAGAAGAAGTTGGGGCCAAGAGGGGACTGATAACCAGAGGTCAAAGGTTAAGAGGGGTTAAGCCTTCACCCTAGAAGGTCACCCATTAGCCCTAAGACAAGTATCTCACAGGTATTTTCCTGAAACCTAGAGCAGAGGTAGGCCTGCAGGGAATGTCCATCCACTTACTAAGGAAAAACCATCCTCCTGATGGATGGTTCCATACCCCAGTTTCTTGTTATTAACATCTGTCTCTGATTTTGTGAAAGTCACTGCCTCTTGGGACCTCCATTTCCCCATCTTTCCAATAAGGAGCTTGGACTTGATTGACAGTCAATGGCAGGTAGTTTATTGTGTTGGTCAGTTAGAGGCCTTAAATATATTTCTGTTCTTGGACAGTGAGAAGAAGTTCAACTGGACTAGACAGAAGGGAAGAAAGATGGTTTGCCCTGACCGGGACTCCTGAGAGGGGCTGTAACATCTTTTTCCTGTGGATCTTGGTGATCAGGGCAGACCTGGCTGGTCTGTGACGGAGCAATGAGTGGGGTGAGCCCCAAACTGAGGCTCAGCCCTTCCCCTCTGCCCACCTTCCTTTCTCCTCCCCCAGAGGCTGCAGTGCCTTGATGGCTTTGATTCAGAGGGGCCTGATTCATCAAGCCTGATCAAAGCTCTAGGGGGCTGGTTTGTCCTGAGTGTAATGTGGAGTTCCCTCCAGTGGGAATAGGTGGGATATTCTTCCCCCACTTGCCTCTAAACAGTCAGGGGTAGTGCCAAGGTGTGCCATTCAGGATGGTTGTGGCCTCTCTGTATCTGCCTGCTGTGTAGCCCAGAGGTGCAAGCCTTAGGCATAATGGACACATCAAGCACTGTGCGTGGCTGTACAAACACCACAACCGAGGGCGTGCCTTTGATGAGCATCGTTGGAGCAAGACCTGGTGGAGAAGGAAATTGAGGGTGATGCATTACTCAGGCTGTCCTTTCCCCTCGCAGGGAGCTCTCTGTTCCCATTCAGAAGAGTGCTCTGGCCCCCTCTCCAGGGTGCTTGGGTCAAGGTCACAGCTTCTCTAGGACTGCCTTTTCCCATCTTGGTGGCTCTGGGGTCAGCTGGCCTGAGCAAAAGACACTGGATGTTGACACAGGATTAACCAAGGACCCGTTGAAGCTTCATAGCATGGCTCTGAAGTCAGGAGGAATGACCATCAGTCCCAGGCTCCATTTCCGGCTGTGAAACTAGGCAGGTTCCTATCCTTGCTTCTCTGCGGGCTCTCCATCTACACATTGGGATAATAATGAAGTGTCAATGAGAGCACTCAGTGCAGTGTCTGCAAATGAGAAGTACTCAATAAACGGCAAGTGCCGTACAAACAATAAGGGTAAGAGAGGATGCAATGTTAAATGAGTATGATGTTCAAAGGTCTTGGAAAAGTCTCTGCTACAGCTTTCCAGCCTCAGGGGATAAGTGTCCTAATGGTGAATAGAAATAATTGCTGACATTTGTGGAGTGGTTAGTCCAACACAAGTGCCGCTCGTTTACACTGTTTGTAGTGTTTGATCCTATCAACAGCCCCGTGGAGGAGAGCTGCTGCTATCCCCATTTTACAAATGACCCCACTGAGGCTTGGAGGTGGGGCTGGGTTTGAGCCAGATCTTGGACACAGCGCCCTAGACTTACTCTGATCTTGGGCCCTGGGCATGGTGTTCCACAAGGGTAGAAGGGTGCCTACTTTCTTCTGTGTAGAAAGGCGTAGGAGCTGAAGCAAGGCCTGTGTCTCCAGGAAAAAGAACTGGAGAGATGTGAAAATCAAAGATTTTAAAGGCAGGAGGAGTTGTTGATCGGATGGCCTGGTTCCTGGCTGCATAGCTGGCCACGGCACAGAGAGGGTCCCAGGACTTGGCCGGGCCCAGTGCACAAACCAGAGAAAGTAGATCCAGTGTCTGGGTGGAGCGGCCTCCCTGATGGGCTTTTGAGACTCAGTGGGTGGGGGTGGAGCCCACACTGTTCTCTTTCCCAGCAGGGATAGATGTGTTAGTCAGGGACAGATGGCAGTCCCCTGAAAGGCAAATGAAATGAGTCCCCTGCCTCATTGAAAGGAGGAGGGTCACACTGGGAGCAAAACTCACGAAGAGATACTTCCCTCCTGGGCATTTCTATCACCGGGGGCCTTGCCCAGTGCTCCTAGAACAGGTCGGGGCCCCAGTAAAGGTGGCACTGCCAGGACGGAGAGTACAAAGGGCTGGGGCTGGCAGAGCTATCTTACTCTGGGTGTCCTTATACAAGCCCTCTGTCAATGTCTCAACAGTAAAATGAAGGTGACGCCTGTGCCCACCTGAGGTAGCCTTAGCTCCAGGAGCATGCACCTGGCATCACCCAGCCCAGGGCTAGGGAATTCTGGCCCACTTCTCTCTTCTATTCACCACCCACTGAGCTTTTCAGGAACATCTTACCATTATTATACTGAGGCCCAGAAAGGGGAAGAGAGTTTTCTTACTATTATTCTTGACCATGGGAATATCCAAGGGCTCTAGACCTTAAATCAGGAGCTTTAAGGAAGTGAGTTTGGGGAGGGGTCTCTCTCTCTCTCTCTCTCTCTGTGTGTGTGTGTTTGCCTTGGAGGGCCTAATAACGTAGAGAAGGGATGGATGACACTGTATTTAGGTGATGATGCTGGGCACTGGGGTGGTCCTGAGCCTACAGGCTAAAAGAAAAAAAAAAAATCTCCAATTAGCTCTGTGAGCTACTGAAAGCTGTCCCTAGAGTCAGTGCTCTGAAGCCAGCACAGTCTCCCCAGTCCTCCAACAGTCCAGTGGTGGTCTTCTCAGGCATTATCTCTGAGAAACCCATTTCTTCCTTGAGCCCTGGACCCCTGCAGACTTGCCTCTCTGCACCCTCTTCTCCTCCCATTGTCCCATCATCTCCAAGAGCAGAAATTGGGTGGAAGAAAGGACCACCAGCCCTTCCCAGGCTGGCTTTTGACAGGATGAGTGACCAGACAAGTCCCAGCACTGCTTCATATTCCAGGGTCTCCAGCTGCACTAAAGGGGGCTGGAGGAAATGGTGACTGAGGGCCCTGTCAGTCTGCCTGAGAGGATGGGGCTGGGGCAAAGTGCAAGGTGGTGGTGGGGGAACCCAAAGGACCAGTCACAGAGTAAACAGGGACATATCAGCTTTGGACTACATGTCCCTGGCTCCCAGGTGGAGTTACAAGAAAACCTTTAAGCCTTTAAAAAATCTTCGTGAACACCACCTCGAATCATATTAAAGATTAAAAAAAAAAAGTCTCCAAATCCCACATTAAATTTGATTTATTAGAACTATAGAAGCTAGTGGATTTACACTTGACTAATTAACAATGTTGTGTTACAGACATTTACTTAAATGTTTGTTGATTTTAATTTTGCTGGTTTTTTGGTTTGTTTGTTTAGAGTCAGTAATTTTTCTTTTTTTTCAAGGCTCAAACATTTCCTTAGGCCAAAGAAAAAGCCCCGGGGGCTTTGTGCTTATGTTTTGTGGGGTTGTGGCTGTGGGGGTGGTGGTTGTGGCTGTGGGTAGGTTGGGTGGGAGACGGTTTGTCCTCCTCTGCCAGATTGTGTGGGCGGCGTCGCCTAGGGACGGTGGGATGGGGCTTCCACCCGGCTGAGGGCAGGAGCGCCTTCTTGGATCGCAAGGGAGGCTAGGCCATAGCTGCCCCCTTCCCTCCCCCAGGCCGGAGAGGAGGCCGCCAAGGGCTCTCCAATTGGAGAGCCTTTCATCTCTTTGTTTTGACAGTGATTAACCCGTCCTAGCGCACTCCGAGCGTGGCTCCAGGCAGCGCGGGGGAAGGGGGGGAAGCGGAGGGCAGGGCCGGGAAGGGAGGGAGGGGGGCTCTGGGCTTTGTCGCTTTCAGGGAACTCTGCTGCCATAGCAATGAGGCTTTCTAAGGCCTGACTTTGATTTCGATTCCATTAATGAGCCTGTCTGCTCAGTCTCGCGAGTGGAGAAGGCGTTCCGTCGTCCCCAGCTTTGCCCTGCGCCCCTCGCACTTGGGGAGGGCAGGACGCAGCAGGGCCAGGATCGCAGGGCGTGCGGGTGCAGAGGGTTGAGGAGGCGGGAACTTAATTTCAGGCGCACACCACCCTCCCCCTTGTCGCCAAAGGTGGGCTCCTCGCCTCGCGCGCCGGCTCCCCTGGGAGCCTCTTCCTCTCCCCGGGCATCGGACTGGAGGGAGGCCAGCGGCCCAGCCCTAGACCGGCGGAGAGAGTCCGGGGCACCTGCCGGTCGTTCCACCTCTGCATGCATTTCACACTTTCTATCCTGTTAGTCGTCCGCACTCCTAGGCCGATGCTCCCCTCTCCCCCCGTTTTTAATGTCATGTGAATTTAATCTAGTTAGACGATTTTCTGCTTAAAATTGCATTGTTAACAGCAATTGTTTAAAAGCGGGCCGAGAACTAGCGCGCCCAATCTTTGAACCGGACGGGTTTTGCATGCCTCGGCTCCGAGGCCGTGGCGCGCTGCACAAAATCCGCCCGCGCGCAGCGGAGCGGGGAGGAGGAGGGAGACACAAAACAGTCCTTGGTCTTTCTCGCCACTGAGCCTTCAGGGCCGTTTCCCCAAGCGCAAACAGATGCAAATGTCTAGCAAACGTTGCACAAAGCTATTCAGGGAGAGGCGGCCTCTTCGGGCCTCAATAGCTCTTTAAACCCAGTCCAATTGCCCCCAAGTAGAGGTAAAGGGTCTGCACGCATTTTTCGGCTGGAAGGGGGGCGGAGGAGGCGAGGGCCTTCGGAAGCAGGGACTTAGGCATGCTGTGGTCCAGTGGTTTGTGCCATCGATCCCAGCGGCAGCGCGCGGAAGACCGACAGGAAGATGCGGTGGCTCTGGGGACGCCGCGCCTTGGCCCGGCGGGGACGTTGGTGCCACCGAAGCTGGTGCCGACGGAATGCGCGTCCAGAGAGGTCGCGGTCCTTTTCAGGCCCACAAGGCCGCGCTAAATCGCGACACACATGATAGCATGAAAGGGCGCATTCAGGCCGTACGAGAACAAAGTAGGATCACACTCCTCGGAGGGGACTAGTAAGCTTTTAACTAATACCCACTAAGGCGTCCTTGGTGTGCTCCGCGCCGCAGGGAGAGTGCGCATGCACCCTGCTGGCTTCTTGTGGGACTCTGACTCTGTCCTTTAGCGTCCCTCTGAGATCCCGGGGCAGCCACTGAGCGTAGGGCCAGGCGTTTCCTTCCAACCTCACTAGCACAGGAGCCTGGGGCCTGCAGGCGCAGTCTTTAACGCGCCACAAACTCACGTGGGCCTCGCGACTCCGAGGCTCGGCACTTTCTGACACTTCAGAAGACTGTGTCGGGACCTCTAGAGCCTAGGTCGGTGGAGGACAAAGCGCCAGCAAAAGACGCCAGCGTAGGCGCGGACTCAGCCGCCGGTCCCCAGCTGTGGCCAAGAGGCGGCCACCTCCAGATAAGGGTCTGGCCCTTCTTTCCAGTTGACCGCATGCATCATGGCGCGCTGGGCAGCAGAGCCAGAGCAGGGACAGGTGCTGGGAGCCGGGAATGTCCCCTTCCATCTTCTCTCTCTTCCCCGCGCTGTCATCTACTTCCATGCCACCCACATTTGCTAAGGCCCCTGAGGGTCCTGCTCTCACCGAACTTCCGTCCTGGTGGTCTCGGGGACAAAAATCAAACTATACATTAGGTATAGCCCCAGAAATCCATCAACCCTTCCTTCATACTTAAGCAAGAGTCGCTTTAATCCACTTGCTGGGAGTAGTGAAGGAACCAAGGAGCGGGCATGTTGGGCTTCAGGGGCGAGTCTGGAGGTGTATAATCTGTAGGCGGCTCTGATCCCGCTGAGTCCCTAAACTTCATTTTGAGGTCAGGCGCCATGTTTCACTCCTCACAGGATGTGGCCCGTGGGAGGTGTTCTCCGGTGTCACTGGGATAAGTTGAGTTGTGTGAGGGCGCTTTGGGTAGGGAAGTCTCCCAAGAGCCCAGCGGTGATTGACTTTGAATCTGGTGTTCTAGGGAAGGAGAAGCCTTCCCTTGACGGAACTCCCGTCCCCAGTACCCCCTTCCCCCCGCTCCCAGCCTCCCTTTCCCCACTGTGGTATCACTGCCACTTATTTGCAGTGTCAGCCCTGGGCTGTCTTTTTCGGGGCTGCATCTAGCACAGACCCTGGCACGGAAGGAAGTAAAAAACCTAGGTCCAGACGTGGTCCAACCGCTCCTCTGTTTGAGCTCGAGTTTCTAGTGTAGCCACATCCAGGCTCAGAGTTGCTGTCACTTGCCAAACAGTAGCAGATTCACTTATTTGCACTGTCAGCCCTGGGCTGTCTTTTTCGGGGCTGCATCTAGCACAGACCCTGGCACGGAAGGAAGTAAAAAACCTAGCTCCAGACGTGGTCCAACCGCTCCTCTGTTTGAGCTAGAGTTTCTAGTGTAGCCACATCCAGGCTCAGAGTTGCTGTCACTTGCCAAACAGTAGCAGATGTACGGTACAGCAGGGGAGAGGGTCAGGATTCAAAACAGTGGCAGTTCATTCCAGAGCCCAGGTTCTATTATGAGTTTGTCACAAACGGAGCTTCTTTCTTCTCTAACCCCACCCCCACGCGCAGCCCTGGAGACCATTTCTCCGGGCTGGGGGGACGCAGCCTGCGTCCCAAGAGGCGCGTCTCTGTCGCCTCAGGCAGGTGCAGGGCCGGGCAGGCGCGTGGGGCGGGGCGGGGGCGTTATCTCCCGACCGATGGCAGCCCGCACATCTGTTTATCTCTGAAGCCGCGCTGGATTGGATTTCTCGATGTTTATCTGCCTCAGAGGAGCAGTGCTCTGGGGCTGCGGAGAGCGCAGCTGTGTGGGCCGGGCAGTGATTGACAGTTCGGGAGCTGGGCCTCCCGCCCCTCCTTGGTCTGGGTGGGGGCCGCTGGGCTGCCCACCGCCCACCCAAAGGCCTTCCCCTCATTAGGGACCACTTACCTGGGCCAGAGAGATGACAATGTTGACTTAGTACCGCGTACTTAGTGGGGGTAGCGGGCAGGCAAAGGGGGGAAGTGACTAGTGAAAAGATGGATGAATCCTAATAAATCCATTTCCGAACTTGTCAGGGAGGCAGTCTAGGGGAACGGAGGGAAGGCCCTCACCCTCGGAAGTGCCTTCTGCTACCAAGAATGCCTGGGGCCAGGAGGGAAGCCTGGCTCCCCAAAGAGGTGCTGGAAGAGGGGACTGTGAGGCCACAAGTAGGGTCACCACAGGAGCCTATCTATGTCAGAGGAAACAAGATGAACATTTGTCTGCCTTCCTTGGCCATACCCCCTACCCAAACCAAGTCACCTCCCCATGTTCTTTTCTGTCATTGCAGTTTGCACTTAGGTACCCACTCACCTGGTGTGGTTATGTGATTGATGAACCTCATTCCTGAGGGCATGGGTGGAGTCAGTGTTGAGGCCCCTGAAACAATGCACAGCATGAAGTATGTTTTTGGGAAACACTAGTTGCTGGGTGGGACTATGAGCCCTTTGAGGAGGGAGGCTGAGCTATGGTGTTGTGACTGTTGTTTAAAAGGCACCTAGGACCAGGAGAGAAGATATTTGGGCTTTGATCTTTTTTCATGTTGGGCTCCCCGTTGGTGCTTGTAGGACCTGATTTATTACTTGAATGTCAGCACATACTGGTGACTTTAATTCCCTGTGCCCAGAAGCTGCATTATAGATACGACGTGTCCCTCCAAAGTTTTTGTCCAATGCCTTCATTCACCCACTACCTGGTTCCCCATTTTCACTTTCCATCCCTCTTCAAGGGGGATTACTGGGTGCCCTTTGTGCTCCTGATATTCGGGACTGATAAGCACATCTGCAGTGGCCTTTGCAGTGGTAGTCTGGGGTCTGTAGTGACAGGAGACAGGACACTCAGGAGCAGCTTGGGCAGTGCACACTCTATTTATGCCACTTGCTAAGGACTCAAAGTCTACAAAGAGAGCACTGGCTACTCTTATGTACATGTTGGCCTAGCTGTGTGGATGACCCTGTATCTTCAGTGATGAGATACAGGTGCCTGGATTTATCACTTCACTCAGACTATCTCTAGCTAGCTAGTGGCGATAACCTGGAAATAAATTGAAGTGTTGTTTTGATGGGCAAATAGATGCTGGGTGGTCCCATAGGGGGCAAATGTTCACCTCCCCTGGCAGAATGGCTGCAGACTCTCTGTTTGGGCTGGAGAGCCAGTAGGTTGTTCCAGAGTCCCAAGAAGTTCAGACCCCAGAAGTGGAGATAGGACTGGTGTGGGCAGCCTCAAGTATCCTTCTAGCCCTGCACTGGAATAACATCTAATGGCAGGTGGGGAGGGGGAGGTCCCTAACTGCTATCAAGTTAGTTTCCTCACTTTCCATGCTGCCCTGTGGAGTTATGAACCTTTATCAAATAGAAACCACAGCTTTCATGGAGAGCCACCAGAAACAAAATCCAGGTTCATACAACGAGAGACAAGACAGCGCACAACTATAGAATATATTCTGCTGAGTGTTTATTTATCTTTCCTGTAAGCTGGCTGGGACCTCTGTGAGGAGACTAAAGGGGCAGGGAAGGCCTGACAGTGCCCTATTTCTTGCTGGTGAATCCTAGTCAGGCTGTTATAAAATGACTCTTTTGAGAAATGACTAGTTTTAGCAGATTCAAGCTTCAAGTTATGGAATCTCTTTCCCTTTGGGGAGTTAGAGTGATTCCTGCTAACAGTCTCCATGATTGTTAGCATCCACCAAGACGGAGGCCAGAGTAGGCTAGAGGACCTGCTTTCGAGATGGCTCACTCACATGGTTGGCCAGTTAGTGCTGGCTGTTGGTGGGAGCCTCAGTTCCCCACTTTGTGGATCTCTTCATTGGGCTGCTTGAGTGTCCTCCAGACATGGCACCTGGCTGCCCCCAAAGCCGATATTCCAACAAGGACAAGGCAAAAGCTGTGATGTCTTTTCTGACCTAGCCTGGGAAGTCATACACCATCATTTCTGTAAAGGCTTTTGGTCAGCCCTATTTGGTGTGGGAGGGCATGGATACCAGGACATACACAAGGGCCTGAGTACCAGGAGGTGAGGATGACTAGGGACATCTTGGAGACTAGCTACCACACCTTCCAATAGGGAATATATTTTCTTATTCACTGTAGTTATTATTCATCATCTTTTTTTCTCCACTAGCTTTTTGTCTTTCTTTGTTTGCCAAGTGCCCAGAATAATGCCTGTCACATAGAAGACACTCAATAGATATTTATTAAATTGCATTAATTCAAAAGGAATGATTTTCCCAGGGCCTGAAGGGTGTGGAAGAACTGGTAACCAGTGCCCTTGACTTGTGTTTGTAAACCAAAGAGTCCACTGCCACTCACTATAACTATTCGGCATGCCCAGTGTTTACTATGCTGGCTTTTTTTTAAAGGTCCACCTGTATTTGAAGGAAGCAAGTAAGAAAGAGTTATAGGAACATGATTCTGTTCTTCCACTCCAAAGGAAACAAAATATAAGGAAGCTTCTTTATCTTTCTATGCTTTAGTTTCTTCTTCTGAAAGATGGAATATTGCTGGCCACTTCCTAAGCTGTTTTTTAAGGATTAAATGAGATATTGAATATAGAGCACGTCTCATACAATAATCTCATACATATACAATTTTTTTTTTTTTTGGTCTTTTTTCCGTCTCGCTCAGCCAGTGAGCGGGAACCGGTCTGTATGTGGGATCCGAACCCTCGGCGGGAGCGCCGCCGCACTTCCCAAGCGGCGCACTAGTGCAGTGCGCCACCGGGCCGGCCCCATACATATACAATTTTTCATATTTCAAAAAATATGTTATAAGATTCTATCTTAGGGGTGATTGAATCCTGAAACAGGCTGTGAGAGAGGTGGAGAAACCCTCTCTGGAGCTTCTAAGACTGCCTGGATAATGGAAGTCTGCTGTTAACCCCCGTGCTGAGGTTCCTGCAGACGTGGATGACGGGAAGCATCCTGAGCACCATCCGTCCAAGAATCTTCCTGGAAAAGTTGAAGAAGTTGTGGAGTCCATTTGCTAACTCAAGTTATCAAAGGGTAACTTGGTCATATCAAAGGATAACTTTGACATCATCCTAGGTGCAGGTCCTGGGCTTGCAGAGATGATGGAAGCGCAGTCTCTGACCTCAGGGAGCTCACAGTCTCTAGTCAGGACAGGCAGGAAGGTAGGCTGATGATTTGGGTACAGAGTGGTCAGTGCACTGATAGAGACAAGTCCCTGGAGCTTGGAGAGACAGGATTCAGAGAGGATAAAGGAGGTGACATACACTGAGCTTTGGGGGTTGAGTAGGAGTTGAAAGTGTAAAGGTTAATGGGGCCGGCCCGGTGGCGCACTGCTACAGTGCGCCTCTTGAGAGTGCGGCTGTGCTCCTGCCATAAAGGAGGTGACATACACTGAGCTTTGGGGGTTGAGTAGGAGTTGAAAGTGTAAAGGTTAAGAAGCAGGGAAGATGTGTCCCCACAGAGAAAACAGCCTT